CTGACCCTGGTCTCTTCCCTTCCCCTGCCTATGGAACCGGTGCCCATCCCAGGAATGTGCGGGGAGCAGATGTGGCTCTGACCTGGGCCCCAGCCCTTCGCTGTCACTGTCCCATGGTCCTGGCCCTAGCCCTGGCCCTGACCCTACTGTTGTGGAAACACACGCAGCATACTTTTGGGTCAGGTCAGCAGAAGCTTTTATTCAAAAGAAACTACAGCTGTAGGGTGGACTCCAAAGTGACATGGATTTCCCAAGCACTTGGAAGGGGTTCCCCCACAAGAGCAAAATCAGGAGGCTTATATACATTTTAGCAGTCGCTTACAACTCAGTGATCATATAGTGAAATTAGCATGAAAAGCGGCTATAATATTACTTCATTACTTCTTTGCTGTAATCAGGATGGGAACTTATGGGGGAGGCGAGGTTAGTTCACAAACCTCCTTCTTGCACCTGGAAATCAGAGTTGTACATACTTTTTGCTATCTTCAAGGCCGTGGTGAGTGAAGCAGTTGCAGAGGAGTTACAAAGAACAAACACTTTCTCTTATCTGTTCTACTATACAGAGCCAGCAATTCTCCACAAAGCAGTTATATCATCTTATAACTCAAATGATCAAAGTTTAAGGCATTTATTTTTTCTGATTCCACACTGCTTACCCATCCTGCTTTCAGACACTGCTCCCTGCCTCCCGCAGACCCATCCCTTCTGCCTGGCCAAGCACACCCTGCCTAAAGGGGTCCTAGGCTGTCCTGCATGGAGACCCCGCATACCCACCCACTCTGTCCAGTGCCTCCAGTGGTGGGTGCAAGGCAGATGGGCCTGGGGACAGATAGGATCAATTGGCATCTCCCCAGCCCACCTTCCCCTCACCATGCTGAACAGTGTAAACATCTGTGATGGGGGGGCAAGGCTGGGTCAGCACCCTGCTCTCCCTCCCCTCCCACCCCCTCAGCCCTCAATAGATCACCAAAACTCCTTAAGTGGCCCTCCAGCCCAAATAATTGCCCACCCCTGCATTAAAGCCAGTTTATGGTGTAATAATATATGTGGAATATCTTTGTGGCTCATTTGTATCATGCCTTAAATTGAACATGTGGCAGGTTGGGGCTGACTCATAATGGATCCCAGTACTCAGCTGAATGTTGGTTTCTGGCTTAGGTCAGTTCCAGGGTCTGGGACACAGCCATCCCCTACCCGGTCAGTGAGATTCGGCTTTCTTTTTGGGCATGAGCAGAACTTGCCTGGCTCTGAGGAATACCTCAGATGTGGTCATGAAGTTTTGATGTTTGTGCCAGTGTCCCATTTTGGATAGGAGCTGGTCACAACCAATGTTCCTGGTTGGTGCAATGTTTCCTGTTAGTGCTGGATAGCCTTCATGAGTTGTGCTCTAGCAGTTGCTCGGCATTTTCCTTGTCCCTGTTGTAAGCATTTGTTGCTGCACTGCTTGTACTTTAACAACCCAACAAAAGCGTGCATGTAAACGGTGACATATTTAATGTCACAACTGGCAGCATATGAAATCTAAACTGTTCTTTTTCCAGTGGGAGCCATTGTGCATGGGTGTGGAGTGGAGATGTGTGCAAGGGGATGCTGGTGAGTCAGAGAGAGGGGGAGTGCATGGAAATATGGCATCCATGTCCTACTGCTCCCTACTCCAGTGTTGTCCATAGCTGCATTTACTGCTGCCTTGGGACCTGCATGTCCTCTCTGCACCCCGGTCCTGCCTCCTCTAGTCCAGTGGCTGCTTGTGCCATTGCATCACTAGACTGTAGCTTTGAGTGCAGGACAAGGGGCTATCTTCCTTTGCTCTCTTCTTCTTGCCTCTAATACGCCATATTGCTTAATAGGGATCTCCTTGCACTGTGGTAACTGATTTAATTAAATAAGGAACAGTAGCTAGGTACAAGAGGGGTGGTGTTCAGTAATAGATCAGTGGCCCAGACACAATAGAAGAAGTATACTGTATGCTTATTGGGACAGTACAACTTTTCTTTCAGGATGATGTGGGAAATGGGACTTCTAAGGCCAGTAAAGATGGGAGAGGAACTAAATGGTTGCAATCCATGAGGATAATGAATAAAGAATATTTAACCTTTTGCAGGCATCCATGATCCTGGAAGACCCACCCACCAGAAGGATCACAAGGTGACAGATAACAGTGTTTATTTTTACCGGGCCTAAAAGCCACTTGGGTATGTATTCAATGAGAGTCTCTTTACTAGTTTTGTTGCTTCTCTGTCACCATTTCTTACCCCCTCCCCCGGCAAGAGGTTCTGGCAGAAGGTATAGCCAGATGTAACAATTGTGTTGATACCAAATGATACCAACACAAGCTATTTAAGATGCACTTGCCTGCCTGATTCTATACCAATGTAGGCAAGCCACACTAACTTTAACCCTATTTGTCCATAACCTGAGAGGCAAGTGCATGTATCATATTATGTTGACTGGGAAAAAAGAAGGCTCCTTCAAATGTTCTCTGAAACAGGAGCCCAGGGACCAGAAAGCCACGGTGCCATCCCAATGGGTGGGCTTCGCTAGCTTCATACCATGGCATCAAGAACACTGACTTTTGCCACATCCAGGGTGTGGTGTTTTTCTGGTCTTGCTGGCATGGCATATTGCAGGGTATGCTGCAGCAGACAGGATTTGGGTCTTTCCTCTGTGCATCCAGTGCACACATATCTGCAGAGGAGATGGAAATTTCAGAACCCCCCCCACCAAGAAATCCAGCATTTATGGTCCATGCTATCTAGAAAGTCCTTAAACAAAGCCTGCAAACCCATGCAAGTCTGTGGGACTTCAGATGTATCTTGGCACTATATGTGTGCGGATCCTGACGTGCATTTTACTACCCCACAAAAACAGGACCATAAAATAATTCATTAGGGTTTTGACATGTCCTAGTAACTAGTCTGACTGAGTTAGGGTGTGGAGAGAAGTAACATATGAAACATTTAACCCCTCTTGCAGATGACACCAAGCTGGGGGAAGTAGTAAATACGCTGGAGGGTAGGGCGAGGATTCAGAGTGACCTAGACAAATTGGAGGATTGGGCCAAAAGAAATCTTATGAGGTACAACAAGGACAAGTGCAAAGTCCTGCACTTAGGATGGAACAATCCCATGCACCAGTACAGGCTGGGGGCTGACTGGCTGGGCAGCAGCTCTGCAGAAAAGGACTTGGGGGTTACAGTGCACAATAAACTGAATATGAGCAAACAGTGTGCCCTTGTTGCAAAGAAGGCTAATGGCATACTGGACTGCACTGTTAGGTGTGATGCCAGTAGGTCAAGGGAAGTGATTATTTCCCTCTATTCAGCACCGGTGAGGACACATCTGGTGTACTGTGTTCAATTTTTGCCGCCCCCCCCGCTTTACAGAAAGGAAGTGGACAAGTTGGAGAGAGTCTAGCAGAGGGCAACAAAAATGGTGAGGGGACTGAGGGACATGACTTATGAGGAGAGGCTGAGGGAACTGGGCTTATTTAATCTAGAGAAGAGGAGACTGAGAGGGGATTTAATAGCAGCCTTCATCTGAGGGGAGGTTCAAACGAGGGTGGAGCTAGACTGTTCTCAGTGGTGGCAGATGACAGAATAAGGATCAATGGTCTCAAGTTGCAGCAAGGGAAGTTTAGGTTAGATAGTAGGAAGGATTTTCTCACTAGGAGGGTAATAAAACACTGGAACAGGTTACCCAGAGAGGTGGTGGAAGCTCCATCCTTGGAGGTTTTTTAAGAACCAGATAGACAGAGCTTTGGCTGGGATGATCTAGTTGGGGATGGTCCTGCTTTGAGCAGGGGGTTGGATGAGATGATCTCCTGAGGTCCCTCCCAACCCTCATTTTCTATGATTCTGTGAAAGAACCAGCTGGAAACATGTACATTAGGGCTGTGCAAAACAGCACCATTCCACTTCGACTTCCATTTCAACATTTCAATGGAACACTGTTTTGTTTTGAGTTTCGTTTAGTTTCAAAATCACTGTTCCATTTAATTTTGTCAAATGTTTTGCTGTTTTGATGCTATTTCTATGTATCGCCCAGAGGCTATAATGGGGAAGCATGAAACTGCCTATAACTTTATCATTTCTAGCCTGATTTGGATGGAACTTACAGGGGTGGTAGCCCCTTCTGAGGGCATGAAGCAAGTCAGTTTTCAAGGAGATATAGGTTCAGAGGTTTCTGGGAAACTGCACCTCAAGATGCTGACAAGCAAAACTGTCACTTGCCGGCAGCGGCAGTCTACTGTCAGCTGGCAGGCAAATCTGGGGGTTTACACCCCCGGGAGGGCTGTGGGGCTACACTGGACTCCTCCCGGGGGTGCGGCCTCTGATCTGCCTGCCAAATGACAGGAGGCTGCTTCTGCTGCCTAGGACCGGTGCTGGAAGATTAGTGCTGCCGCTGGCCCCAGCCGGCAGGAGCAGCCTCCTGTGATCCGGCAAGCAGATCGGGGGCCCGCATCCCTGGGAGGGCTGTGGCTCTCTGCCAGACTCCTCCCGGGGGTGCAGGCAAGCCCCCAATCTACCTGCTGGATCAGAGGAGGCTGCTGCTGCCAGCTGGGACCGATGCTGGGCACAGCCCGCATCCAGCGCTTGGAAGATTGGTGCTGCCACTGACCCCAGCTGGCAGCAACAGCATGCTGTCATCCGACATGTGGGTCTGGGGGCCCGCACTCCTGAGCGGGCTGGGGGTCATGCCAGAATCCTCCCAGGTGGTGCAGACCCCAGATCTGTGCCAGATGACAGGAGACTGCTGCTGCCAGCTGGGACCGGGGCTGAAGCCAAGCCTGGCTTTGAAACTCAAAATGTTTCAAAGCTTTCCAAATGTTTGAGTGCCCTTGTTTCATTTCAAAGCTATTTTGAAGACTTTTGTTTCATTTTGATTTTGCTGTTTTGAGCGCGAAACAAATTGAAACAGCTTCAAAATGAAACACCCAGCAAAATTTCATATGGCCCTAATGTACGTGTCCTTGGAAACATTTCCAAAAGTAGTTGAAGCCTTCCAAAATATTTTCTCTTTAAATGAGGTGCTGTTTTGAAGTGTTGAAGTTTTTGTTGTTTATGCATGGAGGAGAGGAGAGCAGGCTGGACAGTCTGTAGTTTGTTAGTCAGCTGCTGCATCTGACTCTCCGGACCTGGCTGCTTCAGTACTCCCATCCTGCTTTTCAGCCCCAGTCCCCTCTACCTCTCCACTCCCTTGAGAGGGAGATGGAATTGTGGCTGGAGAGAGAATCCTGGTACTTGAATGAATTTCACTTGGAAGCCTTTCAAAAGTTATTTTGATGTGCACTCTTAAAGTGCAATTGCTCTGTCTTGACTGGTGTGTTAAAGGATTTTAATTAGATCCAGGCAGCAGATCTAACAAGATCCCTTTTATAGCCTGGATTTTTGTCTCTGTGACAATGTTATGGGTGTAAGGTGTACATGTAAATGGATAGTTAAAGCAGTGCAAAAACCCTAGGTTGAAATTCAGGTTTGGGGAGGTTTTTGTTGTTGCTGTTGTTTGTTTTTGGTATAGTTTAAGTCAACTGGTCTAGGTCAGTGAATCTCAAACAGGGGGCCACAACAAGATAAACACAAATATTTTAAATAGGACTCCACAGTGTTGAAAGCATTCAGACTTGCCATACTCTCTGAGGGTGCAGACAGAAGTGCAGCTCCCCAGTCTAACTCGTGGCACTTCACAGGAAGTCCCAGCAGTTAGACAGCCTTCACAAATCAAAAGATGTTACTTGTTGGGTCAGGAGTGTGGGGGATCAAGCTCCAATTTCAAGCCAATCCAGGAAGAGAGGCTGCATCTCTATAGCCTCTTCCTTTAGCCCCTCCCCGCCCCCCATCCCCCTGGTACTGTCTCAGGATGGAAGGGGGAGAAGGCAGGGGAGGGAGCTCTGTTTGGGGATTTCCCCAGCCTGCTCTGGATTTGTGGGGGGAGGGTTGGAGGCCGCCCACCATGGGAGTGGGCTCCAATCCTCCCACCCCACCCTCCAGTGCCAGCTGGGCAACCCCCAGACTGAGCTCCCTCTTT